AGAACTGAACTAGAACTGAACTAGAACTGAACTAGAACTGAACTAGAACTGAACTAGAACTGAACTAGAACTGAACTAGAACTGAACTAGAACTGAACTAGAACTGAACTAAAACTGAACTAGAACTGAACTAGAACTGAACTAGAACTGAACTAGAACTGAACGAACTAGAACTGAACTAGAACTGAACTAGAACTGAACTAGAACTGAACTAGAACTGAACTAGAACTGAACTAGAACTGAACTAGAACTGAACTAGAACTGAACTAGAACTGAACTAGAACTGAACTAGAACTGAACTAGAACTGAACTAGAACTGAACTAGAACTGAACTAGAACTGAACTAGAACTGAACTAGAACTGAACTAGAACTGAACTAGAACTGAACTAGAACTGAACTAGAACTGAACTAGAACTGAACTAGAACTGAACTAGAACTGAACTGAACTGAAAGAACTGAAGAAACTGAACTAGAACTGAACTAGAACTGAACTAGAACTGAACTAGAACTGAACTAGAACTGAACTAGAACTGAACTAGAACTGAACTAGAACTGAACTAGAACTGAACTAGAACTGAACTAGAACTGAACTAGAACTGAACTAGAACTGAACTAGAACTGAACTAGAACTGAACTAGAACTGAACTAGAACTGAACTAGAACTGAACTAGAACTGAACTAGAACTGAACTAGAACTGAACTAGAACTGAACTAGAACTGAACTAGAACTGAACTAGAACTGAACTAGAACTGAACTAGAACTGAACTAGAACTGAACTATAACTGAACTAGAACTGAACTAGAACTGAACTAGAACTGAACTAGAACTGAACTAGAACTGAACTAAAACTGAACTAGAACTGAACTAGAACTGAACTAGAACTGAAACTAGAACTGAACTAGAACTGAACTAGAACTGAACTAGAACTGAACTAGAACTGAACTAGAACTGAACTAGAACTGAACTAGAACTGAACTAGAACTGAACTAGAACTGAACTAGAACTGAACTAGAACTGAACTAGAACTGAACTAGAACTGAACTAGAACTGAACTAGAACTGAACTAGAACTGAACTAGAACTGAACTAGAACTGAACTAGAAACTGAACTAGAACTGAACTAGAACTGAACTAGAACTGAACTGGAACTGAACTAGAACTGAACTAGAACTGAACTAGAACTGAACTAGACTGAACTAGAACTGAACTAGAACTGAACTAGAACTGAACTAGAACTGAACTAGAACTGAACTAGAACTGAACTAGAACTGAACTAGAACTGAACTAGAACTGAACTAGAACTGAACTAGAACTGAACTAGAACTGAACTAGAACTGAACTAGAACTGAACTAGAACTGAACTAGAACTGAACTAGAACTGAACTAGAACTGAACTAGAACTGAACTAGAACTGAACTAGAACTGAACTAGAACTGAACTAGAACTGAACTAGAACTGAACTAGAACTGAACTAGAACTGAACTAGAACTGAACTAGAACTGAACTAGAACTGAACTAGAACTGAACGAGGTTCTGTAACTCTGCTATTATTTTCCTCGTTTGTGTATAACACATATCCACAAAATCAGTTCAACTATTTCATTTGTATTTCTGTAATGCACGCATTCATTAAGATTTTTAGAGCAGTCGTTAATTCTATGTGAGTTTTTGTGTGGGTTTCTTCTCATTTATTACTGAACCATGGACTCTGGTTTGGTTATGATTATTGTATGCTCTCCTTCTCTTTTTCGTGTACACTCTCTCATACTCCATCTCTTGACTTCTTCCCATACAATGGCATTATGATAACATCATCCTTAGCAAACAAAAATGAAAACCATCATTAAACGCATTTACAAGCTGGTCATTAAAGACTTAACAAAATGAGTATTTTACATTGAAAAGTTTGGTTAGGGGAAGTACCTATGTATGTATATTAAAGCGCATGAAGGCGAATACATATACATAAGTATATAAAACCTGAGTTTATGGGTAAAATTTTACACTTCGTTTATGATTGCTTTTTCAGATTTCATGTAGTATTATTGTGTGCGTCACTCACATTCTGCTCACTTTCACCTCCCCCTCTTCAACAACTGTAATCTCATAACAATGTTATTTTTGGCAAAATTATTCTAAAAGTATAAATTTTATTAATAATAAAAATGTTAAGGCTATTTTAGCAGCAGCAACTTGAACACTCCGTATTTTTTTAAGAAAGGAAAAAATAAAACTCAAAGTAAACGTTTACTGCTTGTGCTGTACATTTTGCTTCCTTTATCACTCCTTTTGCAGCTCACTTCCTGTTATATTCTTTTGCTCCGGCTTTTAATTTCTCTATATATTTAAGTATTTTTGTGTGTTGTTATTGTGAAATAAGTCTGTGTATCTCTGTGCATTTTATTATTTCCATTTAAAATTAAATGTATTTTATTTTAATGTTTTTTCTTGTCGTTTTTTTTTTTTTTGCCATTTGCCCCATATTTTAATCACTTTTTATTTTTAGTCATTAAAAAATTTTTGTAAGTTGTTTAGAAGCTCTTGAAATTATTATTTTTTTCCCAAAAAAAAAGTAATATTAAAAGAAGCGTTAATGAGTTATAAGTTGTTAATGGTTTGTGGATTTTGTATGACTACTGTCATAAAATTGGTAGATATCTTAATTGGATACTAAAATATATAAGATGTTTTAATAGCAGTTTTTTCCCTACCAGTACAACTGTGTACTGGTAATTAAAATATTTATATAAATATATTAATTTTAAAGTTAAGCTATAACGAGTAAATACTTAGTTCAGTTAGTATTTTGTGGTTAGAGTTTTTTAATTACAACTAAGAAGTTTTATCATCTGCTACTTTAAGTAAATAAGCGAAATTTTTTTATAATGGACATTTTTAACAGCTAGTTAAGTAAGAACCTAAATACAAATTCAAAACGTTCTCACATGTCCATGTCTAATAAGCGGTGCAATTGGACCTGATAATTTTAGTTAATTTTGAACGAATACATAAATTTGATTATAATACGCTTTACTATTGTTATTAACTTTAACCATAATCAAAAGATTATACTTAGCAAAATTATTATTATTTGTTAAATAAAAATTTGTTACAAATAACATGCAAACAAACAATTATTAAATTATAGTAATTATAACCCAAATTTCTATGTTACTACTTTTGCAGTTATAAGTATGCTACAAATAATTTAACATAAACTTTACCCAACTTATATAATAAATCATTATACATACTATTGTAGCATAATTTTAGGTCGTAAAACTTATAAACGTATAGGTATTGTTAAGGGGTTTTGCAATAAGTAATGTTATATAAATTAAATTGAATGTAATAAAGGAGAACTAATACTTGGCTTTAGTTATATTTAAGAAAATACAGGCCAACAAAATTTGAAAAAATTCGCTCTTAATCCGAATCTGGCATAATTTATTATTCCATTACATCAGGTTTTCACATATCATGTCATGAAGGTTGAAATAACCCCATTTTTGTCATACATAAGTGACATCCAAAATCTTTGAAGACCAAGAATTGCAGATTGTAATCAAACTTAATTAGGTCTTTCAAAATCATTGGAACCTACTCAAGCAGAAATTTGAAAACATTTACGAGCAACAGAAAACATTCAAAACCAGGAATATAGGTAACAATACTAATTTATGAAGAGATAATTATTTTTGCATTGAGTTATTACTTGCAAGGAATACTGGATTCCCTCCCTTATTCCGAAGCTTAAAAAGTCATATTTAAAGCCTGTAAAGCGTAAAAGCTAAATATTCATGGAGCTAAAGTACTGGTCTATACTTTGTGGAATGACTCTTAATTGGGAGACAAAGTGGGCCTTGGTTTTTTTTTATTGAATACCCAGAAACATAAATATACCACCGTTTTTAATCACAACACAAGCTTCCAGGCAAAAGTCCGAAGCACTCGGGAGTAGTAATTGGCAACGAAAGAGCGCATGTAATAGCTTTAAAGGGGAGGGAGCTCGATGCAGTTAACCTGAAAAACACAAAACTGACTAATACTGGTTTTTAAATTTTTAGGACTTACGTCCAGGAAATGAGTTTCTATTCATTTAATAAGTAATATATTCAGTGAACAACAATTTTTTCCATAAAAAGGAGCGCACAACAAAACTCATTTTCAAACTGATCTTGTGTTAGCAGTTTGTTTGTATGATTTCATTGGATTATGGAAGAAATATATAACCATATACGGACACTACTACCTAATAAAAGACCAAAAAAAGACCCTTGTCTACCAGGTTTGGCCAAAATCATTCACTTTTTTATGGGTTCTCAAGGATTTGGGGTCTCTGTGTTATTTTTGCCAAAAAGTGATCATTTTCACAGGTTCATATCTTGCAAACTGCATAACTCTCTGAGGCAAAGTTTTAGTCTTATCAAATTGTGAAACGTCATCTTCAAGATCAATATCGCAAAAAAACTTTAAAATATTAGTTTTTCACATGTTAGGCGTATACTTTATATTTGTAATATCAATAAATCATTAACACGTATACGTAAAGGTGTCGTTAATAAAATCAGTGTCATCATTTCACCTAAATAATTTTTAAAATATGCTCATGGTAAATGGTATCATATATGGTAGGCCATGCCCGACTATATTTACTTGTTAATTGTTTTCTAAACATGGTGTAGGGTATCATATGGTAGGCCATGTGCGACTATATTTACTTGCTTGTTAATTGTTAGAATCATATATGTATGTGGCTAACAGGAAATCTCCCAAGCTTTCTCGAGTCAACAATATAATTTATCATTTATATTACAATTGAATAAATATTCTTATATTAACACATCTTATAATAAGAACCTATATAAATCAAAAATGTCTATACATAATATTTCAAAAATATATGTATATTTATGTGTATAACCCTATAACTAATACAAATAAAAACTTTCATAACAAAGAACAAAAGAGAAAAGTATATAAAATTTTTAACACTTACCTGTCTGCCTTTTTGACGCCTGACCACATGGCTGCCGAAACAGGAGGCATAAATCTTAAATTGCCGACAGGTGGTGATGCATATGGTATGCCACGATACGCTTCAACCGGATCTAAATGGCGTCCATCTAATTGTACAATTACACCCGATAAAGCGCCATTGCGTGTATGGATAATACGTGATGAAAGTTGTGAGGGTAATTGGTCATTTTGATTGTTGTTGTTGTTACTATTTTGACGACTACTGCGAGAGTTTGATGATGATGATGACGACGACGACGATGATGATTGTGAAGAGGACGAAATTGATGATGTTAGTAGAGAAGAAGAGGAACTAGAACTACTACCACTACTACTGCTGCTACTACTACCTATACTGCCTCCTGCGTTAGTTATGGCCGTCAAGGACATTGAGGGCACTGTATTGGAAGTTGTTGAAGAGGAGGAAGAGGACGATGATGATGATGATGACGTTGATGTGGTAGCTGCTGCTAATAAAGCTGTTGTTCTTAAATTTAAATTATTATTTAAATTATTATTACTATTTAGAGAACCTTTGTTTTATTATTATTTATATTGTTGCTGTTACTGTTGCTATTACTATTCAAGCCATTTAACGAGCTGGCAGTAACTATGCTACCGTTTTCTAAACATTGTTGTAATATTACTATTGTTAGTAACAGATAATTGCAGCAGGATGTTAATGTATTTCTTTTTGTTGTGCAGGCTAAAAATGAAGATTTTCTTCTGCTACGTTTTGACACCAAACATTGTGACTTTATTAATAATTTGCCAGCAGCAGCTGCTGTTGCTACCGTTGTTGTTCTGGCTGTGGGGTTTTGTGTTTGGCTGGATGTATGCTTTAGTGTAACAGCTATGTGTTGCATAAAACAATGCAACATTATCATTATGTTTACGGTTGCTTAAGCAACCGTTTGTTGTTAATAAAAGCAACTTTATTTTTAGTATTTTGTTGCAATAGCTTGTGTTGTATTGTTGTTGTTGTTGTCTATTTAAATATTTTCTGAGTTTGAGCTTATTTTTAGCATTAATATGCGTTTGAATGCTTTATGGCAATTTTCTGTATAATTTTCGAGTGTCAGAAAAAATATGATTTATTTTCTTTTTTCAGGCAGTAAGACAAAGAGAGACAAGAGATTATATTAAGATGCCATTATGTCTGTGCTCTAATTAAGTTATATTTGTTTTTTCTTCTTCTGCTCAGCTTAAACAATTTAAGTTGTATTTGCTTTTTGTGTTCAGCTAACAGATTTTTCAATTTCATTTATAGTTGTTGTCAGTAAACTATGTTGTTGCCAATAGTTGTTTGCAGCATAGTTGCTTGGTATGTGTTAGAGGTTTTTTGTTTTATTTATTATTACTCTTCTTTTTTGCTGGCAGCTTGTTAAGCACTTAAAAATGTTATTCGTACAAGTGCCACTTAACAAGGTTGTTGTTTTTTTTTGTTGCTCCTTATTGTTGTTGTAGTTATAGTTGCATTTGTTACTGTTATATGCTCTATTCTCCTACAATGTAGTAGTTTTTAAAAGTGTGATAATTTTTGTTCTCTATTTGTTTTCTCCGTTTAGAGATTTTTGTTGTCTTTTAGCATTTGTTTGCATAAGAACACTCATACATCTCTTCAAATAATATTCTCATATATACATATGTATGTGTAACGTTCTTTTTCTATTATATGACAAGCACATACTCCCAAATTCGTACATATTCTCTGTGACTGCTTTGCTATGCTCTCACGTTTGTACATATCAAGACATATACACACTCACCCACAGAAGTTCGCTTACTATAACTGTAAAGCAAAGGGAAGAGTGAGAGTGCTTCAATACATAAACATATATAAGCTTTTATATTTGTGCATTAGTGTATGTGTGTATGTTAGTATATATGTGTATAGTTTCCTGTTAGCAACCATAAGCCTCACTTTCATTTCGTTTGGCTAAAAGTAACGTTAGTGGATTCTTATGTTGTCGTTGTTGTTTTTGTGTTTTTTATTTAAAGACAACATCCACTACAATCTACATTCTTATACATTGTCAGTCCTTTCTTTTTTTTGGTGAAAAAAAAATGGCAAAAAGTATTAAAGTGGCAGCAGTAAAAAACTTAGTTTTATGTAAAACAATTTTTTGTTGTTTTTATTTTGCTGCAGCGAGCCAAGAATATTGCCTACATTTGCCTGCACCTGCTGTTGCTGTTTTGTGTTGACATGTTCTGTTAGAGTTGTAGGTGAGTTTTCTTAATAGAAATTATTTTTTTCGCTATAGTGTTTTTCTTAGTGCCTTAGTTAGGCAGTTAGCACTATCGTTTTTTTGTAGGTGTTAAATTGTTCTCTTCTATACTGTACAGATCTTGTTCTTCTTCTATACATATATATTGCTAACACATGATTATTATTGTTGTTGTCTACTGCAGGCCTGTAAGCAATGTGGCATTTTATGAGCAACTTAATTTTTTTTGTTGTTAACGTTCCTTTTTTCCGTTATTGTTTTATTTATTTATTTTTGTTTTGTTTTTGTGCATGAGTTTTTAAATTAACAATGCTTGTAGGCTTTGTCCTTACTCACACACTCTACCACTTAATAGCAGCATAAACAACACAACCAGGAAAAATATGTAGCATAAATGTAGGCGTATAAAAATGTTAAATTAAAGCACCTGTCAGGAAGATAGAAAAGAAAAGTGTATTGTTTTTTATTAAGATGTGTTAAAATGTTTAATAAGCTTTAGTATATACAATTTATTTTATTTAGGCCAAAAATAAAATTGATTAAAGAGTCTTAAGTGGATATTTTGCAAATATGTATCGTAATGAGAATATAAATTGTATAATATGGGGCGTAAAAAAGTAATTAGGATTTAATTAAGTAAAATTTAACGATCAAATAGAAGTAGTTCGTGAAATGTTATGACTACAAAATTTTTAATAAACAATTCATGCTATTCAGCTTTATTTCATCCTAGTTCAGTTCTAGTTCAGTTCTAGTTCAGTTCTAGTTCAGTTCTAGTTCAGTTCTAGTTCAGTTCTAGTTCAGTTTAGTTCAGTTCTAGTTCAGTTCTAGTTCAGTTCTAGTTCAGTTCTAGTTCAGTTCTAGTTCAGTTCTAGTTCAGTTCTAGTTCAGTTCTAGTTCAGTTCTAGTTCAGTTCTAGTTCAGTTCTAGTTCAGTTCTAGTTCAGTTCTAGTTCAGTTCTAGTTCAGATTCTAGTTCAGTTCTAGTTCAGTTCTAGTTCAGTTCTAGTCAGTTCTAGTTCAGTTCTAGTTCAGTTCTAGTTCAGTTCTAGTTCAGTTCTAGTTCAGTTCTAGTTCAGTTCTAGTTTCAGTTCTAGTTCAGTTCTAGTTCAGTTCTAGTTCAGTTCTAGTCAAGCCCTTCTAGTCAGTTCTAGTTCAGTTCTAGTTCAGTTCTAGTTCAGTTCTAGTTCAGTTCTAGTTCAGTTCTAGTTCAGTTCTAGTTCAGTTCTAGTTCAGTTCTAGTTCAGTTCTAGTTCAGTTCTTTCAGTTCTAGTTCAGTTCTAGTTCAGTTCTAGTTCCGTTCTAGTTCAGTTCTAGTTATTCAGTCAGTTCTAGTTCAGTTCTAGTTCAGTTCTAGTTCAGTTCTAGTTCAGTTCTAGTTCAGTTCTAGTTCGTTCTAGTTCAGTTCTAGTTCAGTTCTAGTTCAGTTCTAGTTCAGTCAGTTCAGTTCTAGTTCAGTCTCGTTCAGTTCTAGTTCAGTTCTAGTTCAGTTCTAGTTCAGTTCTAGTCAGTTCTAGTTCTTTCTAGTTCAGTTCTAGTTCAGTTCTAGTTCAGTTCTAGTTCAGTTCTAGTTCAGTTCTAGTTCAGTTCTAGTTCAGTTCTAGTTCAGTTCTAGTTCAGTTCTAGTTCAGTTCTAGTTCAGTTCTAGTTCAGTTCTAGTTCAGTTCTAGTTCAGTTCTAGTTCAGTTCTAGTTCAGTTCTAGTTCAGTTCTAGTTCAGTTCTAGTTCAGTTCTAGTTCAGTTCTAGTTCAGTTCAGTTCAGTTCTAGTTCAGTTCTAGTTCAGTTCTAGTTCAGTTCTAGTTCAGTTCTAGTTCAGTTCTAGTTCAGTTCTAGTTCAGTTCTAGTTCAGTTCTAGTTCAGTTCTAGTTCAGTTCTAGTTCAGTTCTAGTTCAGTTCTAGTTCAGTTCTAGTTCAGTTCTAGTTCAGTTCTAGTTCAGTTCTAGTTCAGTTCTAGTTCAGTTCTAGTTCAGTTCTAGTTCAGTTCTAGTTCAGTTCTAGTTCAGTTCTAGTTCAGTTCTAGTTCAGTTCTAGTTCAGTTCTAGTTCAGTTCTAGTTCAGTTCTAGTTCAGTTCTAGTTCAGTTCTAGTTCAGTTCTAGTTCAGTTCTAGTTCAGTTCTAGTTCAGTTCTAGTTCAGTTCTAGTTCAGTTCTAGTTCAGTTCTAGTTCAGTTCTAGTTCAGTTCTAGTTCAGTTCTAGTTCAGTTCTAGTTCAGTTCTAGTTCAGTTCTAGTTCAGTTCTAGTTCAGTTCTAGTTCAGTTCTAGTTCAGTTCTAGTTCAGTTCTAGTTCAGTTCTAGTTCAGTTCTAGTTCAGTTCTAGTTCAGTTCTAGTTCAGTTCTAGTTCAGTTCTAGTTCAGTTCTAGTTCAGTTCTAGTCAGTTAGTCGTTCTAGTTCAGTTCTAGTTCAGTTCTAGTTCAGTTCTAGTTCAGTTCTAGTTCAGTTCTAGTAGTTCTAGTTCAGTTCTAGTTCAGTTCTAGTTCAGTTCTAGTTCAGTTCTAGTTCTTCAGTTCTAGTTCAGTTCTAGTTCAGTTCTAGTTCAGTTCTAGTTCAGTTCTAGTTCAGTTCTAGTTCAGTTCTAGTTCAGTTCTAGTTCAGTTCTAGTTCAGTTCTAGTTCAGTTCTAGTTCAGTTCTAGTTCAGTTCTAGTTCAGTTCTAGTTCAGTTCTAGTTCAGTTCTAGTTCAGTTCTAGTTCAGTTCTAGTTCAGTTCTAGTTAGTTCTAGTTCAGTTCTAGTTCAGTTCTAGTTCAGTTCAGTTCAGTTCTAGTTCAGTTCTAGTTCAGTTCTAGTTCAGTTCTAGTTCAGTTCTAGTTCAGTTCTAGTTCAGTTCTAGTTCAGTTCTAGTTCAGTTCTAGTTCAGTTCTAGTTCAGTTCTAGTTCAGTTTAGTTCTAGTTCAGTTCTAGTTCAGTTCTAGTTCAGTTCTAGTTCAGTTCTAGTTCAGTTCTAGTTCAGTTCTAGTTCAGTTCTAGTTCAGTTCTAGTTCAGTCTAGTTCAGTTCTAGTTCAGTTCTAGTTCAGTTCTAGTTCAGTTCTAGTTCAGTTCTAGTTCAGTTCTATTCTAGTATTCTAGTTCAGTTTAGTTCAGTTCTAGTCAGTTCTAGTTCAGTTCTAGTTCAATTTCTAGTTCAGTTCTAGTCAGTTCTAGCTTCATTCTAGTTCTAGTTCTAGTTCAGTTCTAGTTCAGTTCTAGTTCAGTTCTAGTTCAGTTCTAGTTCAGTTCAGTTCTGTTACATAGATGGAAGTGTTATTATATTTTTATTAAATTTTATGACAAACATGAAGTTTATATTGAGCAATACAAAATTAATTTTTATTTGTTACTTAGATGTACAATACATTTTGCAGAATTAATCTACATTTATTTATTTTTATCATAAAATAAAATCATTTACCTAGAAACAAACACATTAGTATAAAAATCTTTTACTTTTACTAAGCTTAAGTCATATTAAATAACGTTTTTATGCTACCTTAATCCCCTAGCTAATTCAACGCTTCATGATTTAATTTCAAAAACAATTTCATTTAACAAAAATTCGCTAAGATGTAAAAATATATGGTGTTAACTTTTTAATGAATATAAATTAAGACGCCTTCTTGAGTATTTTAAATATTTTGCCATATAAAAGAAACAAAACAGTGGCAAGACATCCCAAAACAAATCTAAATAATTTAGCAAAACTTTATTACATCTTACTCTACCTTTAGACTCATTATAATTACATCATCATCACCATTATCAACACCTTTATGTTGTACATGAAAAAAGAAAAATCATCAACAAAACAGGAAAATTTTTACTGTGAAATATTGTTAGGAGGAAAAATATTTAAAAAAAGTCTTCATTACCTAATGACATACATAGATGCGTGTAAAGAGGGAAATGATATTGTGGGTACTTTTGTGAAAATTTAAAATATGTTCTTAAAGAATGAGTTAAATTAAACAAAATTCATTTGACGACACGTATTGATGTATACTTTTTATTCCAAAAAACATAGTAAGAAACGGATAAAATTATGATTGGTAATTTTTTGTAACTAAACGATTATTTGAAATTTGTTTGGAACATGAAAAAACTCCCCGTATTCAACCGGGTACAAAAAGTTAGTTTATACTCCAGTAGACAATATGTATGGTTATTCTTTTCTACTCGATACTTTTGTTTATTTTTGCAAGAGCTTACACTTAATGATGTCATTTAGAGGTATAGATGACTTCACTCAATATAGTCGCAAAGAATGAAATTAGTAACTAATTGCCAACTTAATGTTCTGCATAATACTTTTGCAAAAAAACATATACATACATACATTCTCTATACATTTACATATTCGCTTAACTAAATACACTCTATTACAGTTAACTAAAATAAATACTAAAATAATATTAGTGTGTATTTAAGCTTCATTTATTTTAGTTTTATGTTGAAGTGTCTGCCACATATTTTTTTTTTGTCCTACTTCAACTGGTTTATTTGGAAAGAATATGTTTAAGGTTTTACTAACTTTTTGTTTTTGTTGTTTATTTATTTATGTATGTCAGTTGGAGTTTAAATGTAATAATGTTGTCTTCAAGTCGTTTGTACTTAAGATGAAAGTAAAAAAGGTAAATTACATTAATAGCTGGAAATAATTTACCTTAAGTACTTAGCATAAGTATGTATGTACGTAAGTATGTAGATTGTTCGTGTGTTAAGAAAACAGTATGTCTTTATTTATTTGGCAAATGTTAAGGAAAAATGTTAATTGTAGGATAGGATAGAATAACACCAGCAGTTCGACAAAGAGTCAATGCATCCACAAACGTCTAACCACCTGGTTGGTTCTAATTCGTCTTTCGTCACGAATGTAGTCTTTGTAAACGAGTGTGAAGATAATCGTCACTTTAGTGTCCCCTTTGTAAGCAAAAGAGTGGACATTTAAAAACAAACTTAAGTTCTTTTTTCTACCAATTCGTAATCTATGGGATGACGATTGACTTCCTAGTAGGACAAGCACATATTAAAATAGCTAGTCACCTGGACAGTCGGTGGCTAGTAGTAACTAAGAGATTGGTTAAATAGGTAGTTTGGGACTGTCCTACCGAACTGCTGGGTACGTTTAAATAGATATGTATATGGAAATTTTGAGATCTCTATTAAGCTATTTCCTAAAGATGTCACAAAATTTTAAGTTTTTTATTTACGAGTTTCATAAGCAAATTTTTTGAAGATAGAGAATATCCTTATAAATGAAGAACACTGAGTCCTTAACTAAATCGAATGTAGTAAGATTCGATAGGGGGATTAGTTACGTCATGAAATGATTTTCATTATAATTTCATCTATGATATTAAGAGGAATATAAGATTTTTCCCGATTTGTACAAAACACCCATAAAGGAAGGTCCTCGAGATTGAGAACTAAATCTTTTTACTTAAATTTTGAAGAC